TTTCTATTTAGATAATGAATTTTTATAAAAGTTCTTAACGACAGAATAAACGTATTGCTGTTTTATATTAACTGTGTCATTTCGGAATCCATTCTTTACATAGTTGTTCATTTACTTTAGAGAACACGCGGAAAATTATATTTTTTCCTTTTGTTTTTCTATCAAAATATTTTCAAGTTGCAATCGCGCAAACTGGCATTTCGATAATAGTTTTAAATTCTTGTAAATTCACTGCAAAAACTGAGGAAAAACATTATAGAAAATAACAAATGTCTTAGAATATCTCGCAAAAAGAAATGCTCCACTATTAGTAAGAGATAGTAAGGCCGAACGCTCCGTTCTTGAAGTAAAAGTGCGAGCTTTGCACCAAAGTGGCGTCACTAGAGAAAATTGGAGGATTGGCGCGGCGAGAGCTACTTCAAAGGAGTGAATCAGCCCTTCTATTCTCTTTAGCCCTGCAAATTTGTAGCGGGGTGGCGTTAGTACGTAAGTACCGAATTTTTATTCCATAATTTTCTGAATCATATTACTTCAAACATTATAATATACAAGAAGTATACACAAACACATAATGTTAAACCATTTAATTTTTCCAAAAAAAGTATTTTGACAACAATTTTTATCAAAAAATTATTTACTAACAAATGTAAAATGAAGATTTCTTAGGAAAAAAAAAACGATTTTAAAAATTCTTTATATTGAAATGAAAACTTTCATATTGTTTCTTTTTTTATTCTTATAGTTCTTAATCCGACGTAAAAAACCATTCTGTAGAAAACTATCATCAAATAAGAAAAAGAAAATATTTAGAAGCAAATTTTTTATTATAAAAATCATAACACTCACCTGTTTTATAAATCCGCAGAATTCCAAATGAAATGTTCTTCGTTTGAAAATTTTATTTTTAAATAATATGTGCATAGATTATCTCTTCATTACTTTTAGATAACATACCACACATCAAAATTTTATAATTGTAAGATCTCGATATGAATTTGAATATGTAGCTTAAAAGCAGAATGGCTGAATTCTAGTTGAAATTATTCTTTCAAAACTAAAAAATGCTTACCAAGAAAACGATAAAAAATTATTAATAATCAGCACAAATGAAACTATTTCTAGTAGTTCGGATGATTCTTTATTGTTGTTTTCCGAATTATATAGATACAGAAATACTATATACTATTCTAATAAAGAAGTAGAATATTCTATAACTATTACAGTTCTGTAAGTTCTGAATTCACTTTATTCTTTGGAATGATGAAAGCAATGTTGACTTCACTTTAATTTGTAATGAATTGAAGACAGAAAAAATTATTTCACCGTAATATGCACATCTGTAACAGCAAGATAACATAAAATTGGAAGTTATGTTGTTGGTAATAGAAAGGTAAAAATTATTGAGAAATTGTTCTTCAAATGCTTGGCGTGTTCTGCTTCAATGTTTGGCATGTTCTGGTTAGTTTATTCAAATTCTTCAACCTTTTCCTTTGGGAAATTTTGTTTCTTATTTGCTGCTAAGAAAATGACGTCCGTCATGGCCAATGGTTATGATGGAATTAATGTCCAATATTTTTAGTCTCCCGCTAGAGGGCGTATTTGAGCGTTGCGATCGCGAATTTTACGTTTTTTTGTTTCTAAATAATGATTTTTATTGAAACTTGAAATGTTTTGATATAAATTGTTGTCAAAAAACTTCGTTTACAAAATTAAATTATGTAAAATTATGATGCTTTATGTCCTACTTTTTATTCATTTTAATTTTTGAAGAAATATGATTCTTAAAACTATAGAATGTAAAGTTTAAATGGGCCTTTCATGTTATATCATTAAATTTAGTAAAACTATTTCTTAGGCATTAGGTTTTAACTCTTCTAAGAATATACATATTTTTTTCTGTTTATTTACAAATATTTTTCTGATGTGTTTTGGATGTTCCTTCTTTAAAAAGAAGAAATACCATTTTGTTTCGTTTGCATTAGAAAGGATATCAAACAATTTTCTTCTCTAAATTTAATAAGCCACAATAAAGAAAGAACGTTGAAATGCTACACGCTGCACTAAAAACGTCTCTAGAGTAACTGAATGACTGTTGATATAGAAATCGCAGGTATTCGTCTCATACAACAATGCCACCTATAGTTCGTTGCGATCGCGAATTACTGAATTTTAAAATGGGAAAAATAAAAACAAACAAACAATATTTTGAAATTTTTTTTAAAAAAATTATCAGATACTTAAAATTATAATTTATCGATAGGAGAGGTAACATTAGAATTTTTAATTTTATTCAAATTTGGCATAATTTTAAGTTAAATATTGAGAAAATTACAAACAAGGAAAATAAAATCACAAAAATATATAAAAACATAAAATTTTTAAAAATCAACATTAAATCAATGAAATGGCAATTTATTTTAAAGTCTGCTTTTACAAGTCTCGCAGATAAAATTATGAAATTATAATTATGAAATTATAGAATTAACTAATGATTTTTATTTCAATTTGAAATATGTAAAATAACATAAAAATGAAATAAAACCCACTAGCACGGAGAATTAAAATGCCAATTAAAGGGATTTTTTTTTTTGAAACAAAGCATTGTTAACAAATCATATACTGGTAAAATAAAGGAAAATATTATAATTCACGAGCGCAACGACCTATAGGGGGCGTAGTTATTTGTGACGAATTCCTGCTAGCAGAGCAACAGGATTATCATTTGCACTGGAGATTTCTTCAGTGTAGCAATTGATTGCAAAATTGATTTTAGAATCTGGGTCATATGTTAGTTTAAATAATGAATTTTCTTCACTTGTGGATTAAAATTTATTTCGGTAACTTTTTTCAAAGGAATTTTTATACGGCCCAGTACCAAGTTACTCGGGACCCACGTGTGGGCCACGAGCAGGCCGAATACCGTGACTTCTTCTGTAGGGAAATATTTTATGGTCAGTAAATCTGTGTTTCACTCAAAAAAAGTTACATTTCTGGCAACTTCCTTCCAACACAATCTCTCAGATACGTAAATGTTGAATGTGTGTCGAACTATACTTATGAAACTAATTACCTGCTATCTACCCAATGTAGACCTCACAAAAGACTGGCGATCAGAAAAAGAATTTTAGTGTCAGTAGAGAAAGGAATCTCTTTTCTTAGGGACATCACCATAGGTCGGCGTCACTCACCCAGTCCTCAAAGGTCCACTCCTTCTCAGTTACGACATTATCAACTGCATATCAATGTGAACTAGCGGAGGTCCCCACCTTGGTTCCAAGAACAAGTGTACTAGTCTCACTAGTTCCGTTAAAAAAAGCGATAAATTTGTTTCAGCAATTAAGATTGGAGCAAGGGGTTTCATTGAGGAATCATTAGGTAAGAATATTTATTTTGCTTCAAATGAGAAAAAGGTTGTTTTTTCTTAACGTTCGTATTAAATGACATTATTATTATTGTTTTCTAGGATAGCGTAGCGAGAAAACTATTTCCCTTGGTCTTACACGAACATTCGTGTTATGCACTTTTGGCTTAACGAGGTTTGATCGTAATTTAATCTAGCATTAGTCTCCAATTAGGTACTTGCACTTCGAGAAGGAGAAGGTCAAACATACTCACATATGTGACTTATGACGTCAGAAAATGATCGTCAATAAATGAAATGGGTTGGAGGAAGTGTTTAGATTTTGGCAGTTTTTAGGGTGGTTTCTCTTATGACATTACATAATTGCGCATTTATGTAATTATGTTGCTGTCTTAGACTATTAAGGCAAGGTGTGGGATTGTTCCTGTTTTCCAGGGGAGCAATCTATGGACAAGAATTCAACTTCTCCCACACCCATACGTCGCATCCGTCTATAGGGCGAACCCTTTCATATATTCATTCATTCGTCCACATATCATAATTTTGACCTGCGCCAGAGAACTATCAATCTCCAATTCAGTACCCCCAGAGGTATTGATTTGTTATAGGGGCATGGAGGACTTTGTAACCCGACAGATTTAACGTGCACCAGCCATAATTTACTTCGACTGCCTGGCTTCGAACTTCCGTTCTCATGAACGTGAGTCCAGCCCCCTGCAAACCATATTTCCCCGGCCCATTTATGTAATTATACATATATCTTATTGCACGTAAACAATCCTCGACAACTCAACAGTTAATTAAAAAGTTTTTTCAATTTATCATTTAAGAACCGAATCAGTTTTCAATGCTATTTTCTCGTGGTTTCCAGCCTAAAGTTAAAGATGTTTCGTGTACCATTTTAATTTGTTCCTTTCTTTTAGAAATAAATCTTCATTTATAAATTATGTAAGGTGCCCTTTCCCAAAACAGCAACGATATTCATTAGATAATGAAATAAATAATAATTTATAATAATATTCGAATGTCACATCGAATATTCTTTAATCTTATGTAACATTAAAGATATTAGTAGATAGGGTTCAAGAGTCTAGCTTAAATTAGCGCGGCAGTATTTATTAGATTTCATCTGGTATTATTGTGTTACAGTCAAGCTGTAAAAGAAAATGTACCTCATCATCTTAAAGCATATTCGCATGTCAAAATGAACACTTTTATTTTCTCTTTTCTGGGAAAAACAATTTACAGAAAATTCAATTTTGTTTCATATTTTCCAATATATTTTTCTCACGAAACAGATGTTACAGGAATTCGCCAAAGCTGCTACAGAAATAATACTCATTATTTGCTCCAAATGAATTAAAATTGATTTATTCAACAGGCGGAATCTAAATTAAATGTTGAACGCCGTTGAGTATAAAAAGAAACGTAAAAAACTGAAATTAGAATGAACTAGTCTTCTTTCTGATAGTCCTGAGATCAGAGCTGTTCAGTTTTTACAAAAACAACGTTCGTTTCTCGTGGAAAGTAAGTATTGACTGTGCATTGAATTTTTTATGTAATACTAAGCCAAGTAGCACCTAATATTAGATAGCACCAGAAAGCCGTTAAAAGAAAAACACTACCTACGATACTAATTTAATATTTTTTTTAAGCTTTTATAGAAATTCATAAAGTGTACTTAAAAATTACTAAATTCTAAATATCTTTGAAGTTGAAGCGGTTCATTCTAGCTACCGACCCCGAACAATATGGCGATGTAAACAAACGCGAAGAAGTTGCAACTCAACAGTTGAAAAAAAGTTTCCCAGTTTTATATTGTTAGCGAACAGAATTTACTTCCACTAATACCTTCTTGCGTTTTCTGACATAAAATTGCATTAGCTAAAAATGATATTTTAAGTAATATTTTAATTTATCGTTTTCTTTCGTAAATAAATGTTTATTTATCAATACTATGGGATAGTCTTTCACAAAAAAGTGGCTCTGGACCAAAAATGATTAAATAGATGATCATTGTAAAAAAGTTCGATATAACATTATTTAATCTTATAAAATATATTAGAAGATAGCATTCAAGTGCGGCAATATTATATTGCATTTTTATAATGTTAGAAAATATTCTTTTGCTATCTGGGAAGTGAATACCCGTTCTACTTAAGAAGTCGTAAATAATCGATAAATCGGTATTCATTAAAAACTATGAAATCTATTTTGTATGGTTATGAGTCAGTCATTTAAAACTACACAGTTTTTAAGTTTTTTTTTAAAACTTTAATTTAATTACACTTTAAATTGAGGGAAACAGATTTGGGTGATACTAAAACAACTCTTTTATTGTTGACTGTACAAGATAACAAAGATATTTATCAAAACTCTTAAAACAGACAACTGTATATATTCTTTAACCACCTTTCAAAAGCTGTTGATTGCAGAATTGTATCGGTGTAATTGGTATGTATTGGTAAGGGCTGCAACTCAAAATTTGATTAGGAGGTGGCATTGTATGGATGGTGTTTTCTACACTAAGGAGCGCTGCAAGCTTTTAACTGGCAATTCTTCTTCCGGGTTATTGTTTTTGGTGTGAAGACATTTGGCTCACAACGTGTTATGAAACTCTTTATTTGTTACCTGATTTAATATTTGTGTTTAAAAGAAGAATCGTCTGTCATTTCAAGACATAAGAATTGTCATTTGAATGAAAGAATCGTTATAAAGCACTTCTTACCTTTGTTAACACTACTATACCAACTTCGAAACATAAACCTAAATTAATAGCTTGTGAAATGAATTTAATCTCGCTGCTCGAACAATATTCTAACACTTACGTTTGATGGTGAACGGCTTGAAACCAAGAACAAACAGTAATAAACAAGTAAAAAAAAGGCAAAATCATAACTGCCAAAAAAAGCGATTTCTTCCTAATTTTAGCAACCATGTCAACTTTTTAACAATACATATTTAAATAACTTAAACAAATTTTCACTTCAAACTCACCAGAAATACTTAATTTCATTAAAATCTTATGAAATACTGCAAATTTTGAGCTTCGAAATTATATAATCTATTTCTTTATTAAAAATAAAATTATCTGTTTGAAAATATCGCCTCGCAGAATTAGCTGTATACCTTCTAACCGGAAGTAGAGCAAATCAAGAGCACGAGATTGTTGTTGTTAACATATATATTGTAAACAACATCCCTTTAGTCACGTATCGAAATCTACTGTGGAATATGATATTTGACTATGCTACCTTTTTTCTATCAAAAGGTGCCTCTTTATGGAATCAAGTCTATGTGTCTTATATACTAGTGAATTGGTATTTAAAATTTATAGTGGTAGTTACGCCACAATACTGCCAAATGGAGTAAACAACCATCAACCTCTCCAATGGTAAAAGTTAAGTGAAAAGACATTTAGCATATTTACAATTCCCCTCCCCCTCCGTGTCTCCACCCCTTTGACAGATGAGTTCGGTCAAGAGGCCTCTTGTGTACACAGCTTTTTTATTTTTTATCTTATTTCACCGTTTACTTAAGGTTAAGGAATGACATTTTCTATTCACATGTAAACAAAAACAAATCTAGAGCTCCTTACCTTTAGGACTTCCGGTCCGAGACAGTTTACAGTTGCTTACTGCAGTTTATTACTGTGCGAGGTGATATTTTTAAACAGAAAATTTAGTTTTAAATGAAATAANCCTGCAGCGCCGCCAACAGTTGATACAAACATTCCCAATTGGTATGAGTAAAACTTTTTGAGCTACTCTTTTCAGAGAAATCGACTAAATTTTGCTATCTTTTATAGTTAGTGAGATATGAATTTTTAAAACCCCGGAGTTCTTTTATAGACACCCTGTATAATCTATTTCTTTATTAAAAATAAAATTATCTGTTTGAAAATATCGCCTCGCAGAATTAGCTGTATACTTTCTAACCGGAAGTAGAGCAAATCAAGAGCACGAGATTGTTGTTGTTAACATACATATTGAAAACAACATCCCTTTAGTCACGTATCGAAATATACTGTGGATTATGATATTTGACTATGGCTACCTTTATCTATCAAAAGGTACCTCATAATGGAATCAAGTTAACATGTCTTATATACTAGTGAATTGGTATTTAATATTTATAGTGGTAGTTACGCCACAATACTGCCAAATGGAGTAAACAATCATCAACCTCTCCAATGGTAAAAATTAAATGAAAAGACATTTAGCATATTTACAATTCCCCCCCCTCCGTGTCTCCACCCCTTTGACAGCTGAGTTCGGTCAAGAGGCCTCTTGTGTACACAGCTTTTTTATTTTATATTTTATTTCACCGTTTACTTAAGGTTAAGGAATGACATTTTCTATTCACATGTAAACAAAAACAAATCTAGAGCTCCTTACCTTTAGGACTTCCGGTCCGAGACAGTTTACAGTTGCTTACTGCAGTTTATTACTGTGCGAGGTGATATTTTTAAACAGAAAATTTAGTTTTAAATGAAATAAATAAATCATAGAATTTCTGAGCTCAAACATGCTGCATTTCATAAGATATTAATGATGTTAAGTAGTTCTGGTGAGTTTGAAGAGAAAATTTGTTTTAGTTATTTACAGATATATTGTTAAAAAAAGGCAACATGGTTGCTACATTTATAAAAAAAAAACTCGCTATTATGGCAGACCTGATTCAACTTCTTTTAACTAGTTTATTGTTATTTATTCTTGCTGCAAGCAATGTACCGTACATACGTTAGTTAGAGTATTTAGTTAGAGCAATGTGACAAAGTTTATTTTTTAAATTATCATTTACATTTAAATTTCGAAGTTTGTATATTGTTGACAAGGTACGATTCTAATGCGAATATTAAGTTTTTATTACTTCTCAAAAAACATGTTTACTATCTTTTCATCACTCATGTTTATAACTATGTAATCAGATGTACTGTCTTCACTGTAACACTATGAACACGTTGAGCTAAATAGTCTAAAAATGCATTTACCCGTAAATTGATGGTTGATCGCGTAAAGCTAATCACAGATGGCGCATGGGGTTGAAATTCGTCGTAAGACTTCCGGGTTGCATGTAAACAACCTTTACATCTACAGGTTGTAAAGAAAGATTTTGAGAGCGCTGATTGTATTTCTCGGCTGTTATGTCGTTTTGTAGCTCCTACTCATTTCTCCTTAATTTGTTTTCAAAATGCAAATCAATCCTGAAATTTTTACGTGCTTCCTTATTTGACCGCATTTGGTGCAGAGGTTTTTGCCCCGTCTCTGGTAGAGTTTTTGGTGGTTTCTCCGAAAGGTTTTTTTCAACACAAAGTCAATGGAAAAAAATTCCTTGCCTCCCAATGGACATATTGTACTTTTTTTTAAAAGTTCTTTTTGCGATAACATTTTTAGCTAAAATTCTTCTGATTATTTTAACAACGAAATCGCGCTCCTTTGAGTATATAATTGTTACTATAAAAATAATTGAACTAAAATGACTTATTTTTAAGAAACTCTCATTTAAAATATTCATTTACTCCATAATAAAAATTTTATTTCAAAAAGTGGAACTATTTTACTTTTTAAAAAAACAACGGCTCATAAATTGCCCTCCTTGATTTCTAACAATGCGTATTCTGACGTGCAATCGAAAAACCAACGTTTGCGACAAAAAATTCAAAATTGAGATTTTTATTTAGTTAGTATTTTTTATGATAAGTGACTTATTGCAAAATATAATAAAAAAAATCTACCTTAGCATTCATAACATTAGCGCTAGAAAGTAAATACTAGTAATCAAGCTACTTTTCTTAAAATCTACGATAAGGCACTTGCGTTGTTGTTTCAATGACATGACAGTGTTTTGACGTTTATAATTTATTAATAAAACTGTTTGTTTCTTTTAGTTTGGATTTTTTGTGAAGATTGGCCCTTGCAGTTTCTAAAGGAATCAGTTTATCTCCTTATCGTCAAGACTATTGGCATTCGTAATTTACAAAGTAGTCATTTTTGTCATAATAACTTAGTTTAAATTTTAGTGAGTACTGTTTGAGTTTTTATAAGTGATAATTACAATTTCCTTAGGAGCAGTTTCGCCCCTCCTCGTTGCCAATCGTAGATTCAAAGAAGCATTTTGGTTTTGCAAAATCAACTAACATTGACTTTCATTATTTAATAAAGAATTGATTTGCAGCCATAGCTGGCATATATAACAGCTACAATACCATGCCTAATAAAACTCGTTTTCTGAACTCCACCGCTCTTATGCGTTTAAAGAGAGAGGATGAACTTGAACGACTTGAGAGATTATCGGCTGAGTGCAGTGCAATGCAAAAAGGCATCAACATATCTGATTCATTTTCCGGGACAAGTTTTGGATTAGCTTTGTTATCCGTCGCAACAGTATTTCCAGTAGTGGGCGCCGTGTTGGGTGGCGTTTTGATCGGATCGGCCGTTGCCAAACGTTTACTTGGGAACACCATGGTTGAAAAAGGTTGCTCTGATATTCCTATGAAACAACTGGAGGCAAAGTTAAACAGAAAAATTCATGAGATCAATCGGAAGTTAGATCAGCAAACGGAAGTTTTAAAGGATATTTCTGAAAAAGTCAGCGAGACACTTTCCGAAGTAGAAGATATGAGGAAAGAAATGAAAGAAGGTTTTCTACTCACGATAACATTTATGAAAGAACTTGATGCCAGCCATCCCATTTCAGTTATCAAAACTGCGGCTGCGTCTGTTTCATTTAGTGACAATAATAAGGTGCAGGCTAACAGAGAGCAGTACACAAATATAATGATACAGGAAATAGCCGAAGGTTTTTTCTACAGTTATATAAAACCGCAAGGAGCTCTGTACGAGGCTTTGTTTTCGATCATTAACAGAAACAATGCTAAGCCGGAAAGTATTAACGATCAAAATGCTTATAATGCTTTATCTGCTCTGAGTTTCGGTACTCTGACTTATGTTTCTATTTTCCTTTCCCTAATTGATCAGTACACATATGTAGCGGAGTACTCCTATGAAGCACGTGATCTGGATAAATTTAACGAGAATCTCGATCGCCTCTTATTTTACTTCCCTTATTTTCAAGTCATAATCAACAAAAATTCGGAAGGTTTAATCGACAAAGTTATCGGTATTCTAAAATATGCAAAAGACAAGCACAATTTGGTGAATCTAAATTATGATTTGTACCAAAGCTTTCAGAGACAAATAGACACGCTGCTGCAGTTTAAAAAGAACGTTACGGAGATGACGCTACCAGTCCTTACTGTCACACCCGTTAATGATATCGATATCAATTTCAGCTCATATACAGACGGCCAACGTAGCACTACTGATTTTTTAGACTGGAAAAAGGGTTCTAAAGTAAGTTACGCTTTGCAATATGAAAAGGATGGTAAATTTTCCAAAGTAAGCAGTTGGGTTTCACAAGAGGTGATGAACCTCGCCAACCCTAAGATCGAGTTGAGAACAATGCATGAAACCAATCGACTCATTTTCCGGAAATTCGGCAACAATCCCCCCGAACTGATACGCATCGTTTCGGGTCAGAGTTTGAGCTTCAGAGACATCGACAGAGACTTGTACAACTTGGTATTTAAGAAATCATACGACGACGAAGAAATACTAGACCGCATGTTGACACTTATAAGATTTGGTGCTAATATGAAAGCGGAATTTGAGAACGAAAGAAACGTGATGCACGCAGCAGCTGAAGTGGGTCGAGTCGTTTTACTCCCAAAAATCATAGACCATTCTGATGAATCTATTGTGAATAAGAAGGATTCATTCGGTTTGACACCGCTTCATTTAGCAGCACAGAACAATAAAGCGGAGTTTCTGAAAGAGCTGATCGAACAAAATGCTGATGTCAATGCAAAGACAGATCAGTTCAATCTGACACCCCTTCATGTGGCAGTACGTTACCAGTGTGAGAAATGCGTCGATTATTTATTGTCCAGTAAAGGTATTAGACCTAATGATTCAGATAAGGGAGGAAAAACTCCACTGCACATTGCTGTCTCGGATAATTCACTGAGTCCAAAAATTGTTGAGAAATTAGCCAACGATCCCAAGGTAGACGTCAACGCGAAAGATAGTTTAGGGTTGACGCCTTTGCATACAGCAGTGCTCTTAAATTCCACAAAGAACTTTTTCAACCTTAAGCCGAGAAAAGACCTCGACCTCTGGGCAACAGATAACAATAACATGACAGCACTCCACTATGCAGCAATGAATGGGTTTATTGGACCACTTTCAGGCATTACCATAACAGATACAAAAGGCTTAAATGAGGCTGTTACAGACAGAGATTGGACCCCATTACATTTCGCTGCGTACTTCAAACATGAAGAAATCGTTTCCTTGCTGGTGCGTTCGCTAGAAACGAAAGACAAAATAAAGACAGACCTGCCAGATGCAGACTTGCAGACGCCCCTACACTTGGCTGCTGCAAGTGGTGCACAAGACGCCGTTAGAAATTTAATATTCCCCGGCCAAGCGAAAGTTTATAAGAAGACTGCCCAATGCTACACACCTCTTGATCTTGCTCTTCTTAATAGGCAAGAAGAAACGGTTAAAGAAATACTCACATGGGAACGGGAGTTTACTCAACAAATGGAAAATGGTTCATATGTAGCGGATCTAGATCCACTTGCTTGTGGAATAGCTAGCACTAAAAACATTCTGTGGGAATATTTGGTGGAACGTGAGCGTTGCGAGCGTCGTAAAGCCTACCCTTGGCGCTCCGCCGGTGATTGTGGGAAAAAGGAAAAGAGATCTCCTAGAGAAGAAGAAGAAAAAGATGGACACTTTTATTTTCAGAATTTCTCAAAAGAAAATGATTATCAAACGAAAGCAAAAATCTCAAATGATTCTTTCAAGTCCAATGAGGAATTGGGCATTAAAAAATATAATGTTTTCGAGAATGCAGATGTAAATGGTGCACTACTGCTGTTGGATTTGTTTATGCGAAAGTACAGAAATGAAAAATTCACCCCAGAATTGCAAAATTTAAGCTCTCCCTTCGACGAAAGAGTGCAAGCGCTGAAAATGACTGAAAAGTTAGAAAAAGTGCTCTCTGCAATAAGTTCTGAGAAGAATATGGAAGATTTAGATTTCTTAGATGTCCATTCGAAGTTATATAAAGCTATCACGAGTCGTGATGGGCGCCGAATCGTGAATATTTTATGTTCATTCATTGAAGAGTATTCATCCCTCACTCCTGATGAGGTCCAACAAGTTTTGACAGAAGTTACATTCGATGAACCTGAAACAATATTTCCAGAGAAACAGGCTAACTTGAAGCGCTTCATTGAACAATCCTGCTACAATAACAAACGTTTCTAAGAATCTCCTTTCAATACTTAAATAATATTTAATTTTAATATATTATTATACTCATTTAAATATATAATAAATTAATGAAATTTAAGCAATATCTCTGTATGATGTTATTGTAGTTATATATAAAGTTTTTGGTTGAGTTTGAAACAATATTTTGAAAACAGACAAACAAACGAACGAGCAAACAAACAAACAAACAAACAGACAAAATTAAATAAAGGTCGTTGCAAACGTAAAGGTATTTATCGAAGACTCTAGATATAATTGAAAACCTTTCTAAAAGTTCATTTCATTATTTTTAAAACATTTCATAGATTCAATATTTTAACATTCCATGACAATGAACGTTGATAAAAAATCCTTTTAATCTACAAACCATTTTCAATATTTAATAAATTCAATCATTTCAAAAAAGTTAAACAGATCATTCAGCACTGACTCTTGAAGACGTTCAAAAAGTTTTCACTGCAATTTCACCCATCTGAAATATCATTTAATATTTAAATGCTTCTGAGTTTAGTAAAAGAGTTGCTCTATTAGAGGCCTGAGAACTTCGTTTTAGGTACTACTAAATACTAAATGTTTGGTTATGTTAAGGGCTTTTTATTATATTATATTTCATTTATTTTATAATATTTTGATGATAAATTTATTTTGGTTTTTGGATGGTTCTAAAACAAAATAAACAGTACTGATCATTTTATTTTGTAACTCACATAATAATTCAAATTTAGGAAGCTCGCTTCTCAAATCTGAATAAGTTCATCAAATATTTAATCAAATAATTAACAATCAAATATTTAAGGCCCTTTTTTCAAAGGTTGGTCGTCGCATGAAATAATGCTTTCCTGCAAATAATGTTATAATGTAAGTTTTATAGCTGCTGTGACTTTGCAACAGTTGCTCATGATTTTTAGGTTAAGTTGAGCCTATCTCTATCCAGTTCCCTCTATGTTTATTTTGAAAATGGAGAAATGCCACTGTTTTCAGAAAACGAAAAGTGTTTGTTACTTAATTTTTTAATATTTAAAAACTTACTCCAATGCTGCATTATCTGGACTTCCAAAAGATTGCAAAAAATTAAAATAAGACATTGATTTTGATAATTTTAATCTCTGTGGAAAATTGGTGATTTTTAAAAAAGTTTAATAACTTTTGTAATATTTCAGTTATTTTCCGGTCTACAGCTCAAATAATTCGTCACAACAAGATGATTAGTATTGATTACAGGTATAGATTAAAATTATAGCATTCATTCACGTGTAAGGCACTTAAACTGTGCCTTTTATTTTCCTTTACAACAGAGAAACAACCTTTATACAAAATTTTAAATGGTCCAAGTGCCTTGAAACTTTCATCGATACTGCGATCATCATTAGAAAGTATGCGCAATACCTTATACCATAGGGCTTTATATCTTTTGTTAACCGAATTGCACAAAATTTTAAATAATAAACAATTGTGTTTGGGTTCAGTTAAAATCAATAAAGGCTGATATAATATGTTTTTAAGAATGTGTGCTTCTGTTTAAAAATTCGGTAGCGTTGAGATGATAGAAACTAAAACCTTACAATTCTAAAATGTTAACACGTGACCCGTTATTTAGTGAAATAAGTCTATTGGAAGTTAAAAAATCATTTAATTATTTATTAATTCTTGAGGATTTTAATGATAATTGTCTCACTTTGATGTTTGATTAAATTATAGCGTTAAAAACATCACCCAAATTGATTAACCTTTGCCAATATTTTAAATTATACCAACATTAAACCTTAAAAAGTCTTGGACTTATGCCACTTTTCAGATGAACTTATTTCACTTTCAAAAACTTATACAGCACATATGTTAAGAACTGATAAACTTAAGATTTGGTAAGCTTACGATTATATGTTACGATATGTTAAGAAATAGCAAGCGCTATAACAAGCTGATCAACTAAACCTACGATTTATTTAAATTTTTAGTATTTCTAGTCAAATCTTCGCGTGGAAGCAACAGAAGATTTTCGCATTGCAGCTGTGATTACGAAATTTTTATATGAAATTGGTTTGATTAGATAGTCATGAATCGAAAAATATAAGACTAGAGCCATAGAATATTGCAGTAATATGATTATTTTTAATCCAATACTATTCAAATCCTTGCATTTTTAAACGCCTTAATAATGACTTCATTAAAACACTCCATTCTTGTATTCACCATATATATCATTAAAGAAAAATAAAAGCTCCTTAAAAAAATAAAAGAAGACTGCCAAAATTTCAAAAAAGACCAAAGGAATGATAAAATTTCTGTCTTATATACTGATGATCGAACCTTATCGAAGGCCCTAACATCAAAACATTTTTCCAAATTACCGCTAATTTGTTCCCTAGGCAAAGTCTACTTTGATCAATACAAAGCCAACCTATTCACCAATACCACGGAACACTCAGTAATGAACCTTGTTGCAATGATATCGACCGCCTTGTGACATCATCCATACTCCGAACATACACTTTATCCAGCTGCTATGGATGAACTCAATTACAGGAGATCCCAAACTGGAAAGCTCCATAACATATCATCCCAATAGCATGCTTAGATCTTGCCAATAAATTATCGAGACAAAATTGTGGGATATCCTCAACTGCTGTCTCAATAATCGCTCCAATGGTCGAAAGTCACACTTTTTCTAAAACCTGGAAAAGACACTTCCAATCTAATGGATTTTAGCCTACTACCCTCACTTTTAAAAAATCTTTGAAAAAATAATTCAAAAGAGATTACTGGAGGACTTCCTATCCACCCAAGGTCTGCAAGAACCTCTCTTCGGTTAAACAATTAGTAAGAATCACCGAATTCGTCGCGAAAGTTCTTTTCAAGAGAGAGAGAGACGACCTCGACATAGTTAAAGCCTTTGATCGGGTATAGCACGAGGGCCTTATCTTCAAACACAACGAATTGAACATTCCATAAGACATCACTTTATGGATCGATTCAAGAACAGATATTTCAGAATCAAACTAAATAAAGATTTTTCCAAATAAATGCTGGTGTGCCACAGGGAGACATTCTAGGCCCCTCCCCCCAGCTATATATCATCTACACGTCCATTATAAGTTTCAAAACGAACATGAAACCATCGCCTTTCATGCAGACGGCACTGCACTGATCACAAGATCTATAAAGTTTTAATTAGCCTATTTAAGGTAACTCCTCAAACCTGTAAGATGGAGTCTTAGAACGTGAAGATCCGATGATTAGATCAAAAGTTATTCAGGGTGTTACGGTTTTTATTTTGTGTACTTTACGATACTAAACATTTGGATAGTACATCAAAAAGTTTAGCAAACGCATGCTTTGAAATTTAACTTCTATGTACTTCATTCTTAAAGAACATTCATTAACCCTTTTTCCCCATGAAAACTGTAATAAATGTTTTTTGAAAGAACTCGTGACAATTAAAACCTTCTGACATCCATTAGACAGCTTGACAGATGATGTCATTAAATTAAAACAAACATCGAAATGAATGGGACATTAAATAAGGTCAAAGATCTCAACTATTTTTTTTATACCACGACGGAAACCGAACTGTGCAATAATGAAACTAAAAAGGAATTTAAAACAACAGAAATATATTCCGCAATGTTGAAACAGAAGATTGGGGCATGGATCACATCAAGAGTTGTTTATCAGCAATTTTGAAACAGAAGATGGGGGCGTGGATCACATCAAGAGTTCTTAATTATGGGATAGATGATGGGGGCATGGATCACATTAAGAGTTCTTAATTATGGGATAGATGATGGGGGCATGGATCACATCAAGAGTTCTTTATCAGAAATTTTGAAGCCTAAGGGAGTACGGATCACATTAAGAGTTCTTTATTAGGAATTTTGGAACAGAAGATGGGGCACGGATCACATTAAGAGTTCTTTATCAGAAATTTTGGAGCAGAAGATAGAGCCACTGATCACATCAAGATTACTTTTTCTGAACCCATGGGATAGAAAAAAGTGAATGAATTACATCAAGAGTCGGCTATAAATTTTCAATATCTAAAATGAAGTTTAAATTATTTAAATAATGAGTATAATTTTTTTTCACAAACAGTGAGATTAATGTAATATGACTCAAAAAAAATAAAATTACAATTCATATGTCTTACGATATTTTCGTTACCTCCTAGTCCTTAAATTTAAACACATTCAAGAAACTCAAACGACATTTATTTGAATAGTTAAGGAAGTTTAAATACATTTCAAATAAGTATGGTTTAAAGTTTTGTAAGTTACGACTATTTCAAACAAAAGTGTTCGCTTAAACACTGATTTAAATTAAAATGTTACCAATATTTTATCTGTATATTAATATGCAGAGAGAAATAAGTATTTTGTTAATTTTTTCGATCTAGATCAGCTGCTTTCGGTTACAGAAGTTTAGAATAATCACCTCTCTTTCAGTAGAACATGGGCTTTATAAACAAAATATATAAAGACAATTGTGAATGTATTAATCAATGAGAGACTACTTTTATTTGTTGAAAATATTTAAGAAGATTAATACTGAATAATATTTTTCATAGTTTTATCATCTTAAATTTGGTTTTAAGTCAGACAATTTAATTCACAGTTTTGGAACTGAGTCTAGAATTTATGAATTTGTGAAATATATCTGTGTGTGTGTCCTGAAATTTTGACAGTGGCAGGACGGCGCAACTTTAGCTCTCCTTCCTAAAAATCGTTCAAATAGATCATTATCAGGAGAGACATTCTATATTAATAAGAGAAAATAGAACTTTCTAACTGGTTTAGAGCTAGCACTATTGATATAAATGAAACTGCCGACGATTTTAATGATAGCGCTAGTGATGTTTGTTTGCTTTGCTCTCATTCATCAACTAAGGAGTTTATTGCACGTTTTCAGATATTTAATTATATTTTATTAGTTATGTCAGGCAATATCTATGATCAACGTGAGCTTGATAGCATAGGTGGACTACGTCACCAAATTAG